CCCCCCCCCCCCCTGTGTCTTTGAATACCCACTTTCCATCTGTTAGTCTTTTGTAAAATCACTTGAACAAAAGTTCAAAATAAACTTGCATAACAGCAATGATCCAGGTCAAAGCCTGAGTAAATGTTCAGAGTGAAATCAAAGGCATGCAGATTTTCAGAGTGAAGTTGAAGGCAGCCAAATTGAAGCAGAATCTCAGAAGACGTGTCTTTACACACCAAGGTAAAGCCAAAATGATTCCTATTCGCTTGTGTTTGAACAAAAACCTATACATTACTCTCCCAGCATGTGTTCAGAGACTGATAAAGGCCGTGGACCTCTTTGAAGTGTAACAAATAACAGTGACATCACAGTCCTCTATTGATGTGTGACTTATTTTGAGTTTTTTTCAAGGTTACATCCAAATGTCCTCAGTTTCACAGTGATGCAAATGGAGGGTGAGAATGTTTATTTGGAACTGCAGTATGCGTAGGTTTATTCTGCATAAGTCCGCATATAACTGAATCATACACTAATCTCTCACCCATTAATCCCTGCAATAAAATATAAGCTCTTATAGAGGGACCTCTCATTTCCCCTGGACTTATATACACACCACACATAGTATGTGCCATGACTGTTCTTTTGTCATGTAAATCTGTTGAGTTGCACGTCCCACTATTATGCAAGTCAGAATTTAAAGCCATTTGCTACCCATTTCTGAGTGAAACTGGATATTTATCAAGAAGTAATGGAGTGATTTTATATATATATACATATTTTTATTTTTATGATTATTATTTTTTTTTTTTATTATTATTATTATATATATATTTTTTTTAAAGTCTACCAGGGTTGGGGTGGGTTCTCAATTTACACAGTTGCTGTTTGTTTTATATTACTATTCCCAGAAGAAAATTCAATAAAGAGTTGTTAACAAAAAAAAGAAGTAATGGAGTGAAGGTTGGTTTTATCAGCCTAGAATTGAGTGAATTGTGAAAAGTGGATAGATCTAGATCGAAAGATGGTTTGGCTGTCTGTTATCATTGTGACATCAGCAGAAAAAGGACATTTGTTTCAGAGGAAGAAGACATTCTTACGTTTGGATGACATTCAATGTTTTTTTTCCCCCTCTGGAACACACACAAAAAAAAAAATCTGGTGTAGTACTTTGAAACTTTTTTGGTAAATATCACTTTCAATTAGCAATTTCTAGTAAAACCTACTACAGTAATCTTTGTTTTATTCACAAACTCAAAGTCATTCACAATAAGATCAGTAATAGTAAGAAAGTAAATCGATTTTTAATTCATACTGACATGAACATTGATCACTGAATTAACATGCCTCAATTCTGAGTTTATATCTCGCAATGCTGAAAGTTTCTCTCAAGTTTCAGTTGTTTCTGGAAAATTGTCAGGGATTTGTATGACTGGATAGGGTTAGGAAGATCATTCCACCAGCAAGGAACAGTGAAAGGAAATGTTCTGGAAATTGAATGAGCTAATTAAAATAACTTTTTTCCGTTCCTGAAAATACTCAAATAGGCTAAAAAAGACATCAGTGATCAATGTTTTTTTTTAAAGTTTTCAGATACTTTAGTTTATAATATGAAAATGAAATGATGAATAATGAAATGTTTCATTTCTGTAGAATAGTGTGTGCTAATGAATCATGCACAATCAGATCAGGAACATATTAAGAAAGCAAATAAGCTCAATTTAAATTTCATGTAGACTTTAAGGATGATCATCTTCATCACATTTCAGTGTTAATTCACATTTGCACTATAGCAACAATATGATAGAATAGAAGTTTTTAATGAAACATTGCATTGACAACACCCGTCCAAATGTGGCTCAGTCCTGTTTGCGCTGGAATATTTTGGGCTAAAATGGAGGCAGGGCAGAGGATGCTGGTGGTGCTGATGTAGCAGAGGGCAGCAGTGACTGTGGCCATGGTGACAGCAGCGCACACTGAGAGATTTGTTCCAGGGCTAACGTGACTCACAACAGCTCTGTCCTTTCCTGAGAGACCACTGTCGAGATGCTTCTAAACATCCGCTAACTTGCTTCTCTCCTCCCTCTATTCCATCCACCGCACTCATTCCCAGATCCATTAACTCCAGGCTTCTGCTGTCACTCTCGTGCGTTGATATACACCAGATGCATTGAGCTTTGGCCTTGTTAGCAATACTTTATCTTTTTAAGCGTAAAGATAGTGCTTTAAAATAGTGCTTAAATTATTACTTTTCGCTGAGATTAGACTTCAAACAAATGAAGAGATGGCGTACAAAAGATGAAGAAAAAATGGTTAAAGAGGCTGGAGCATTCTAACATTAAAACAGCTGTCCTTAAATAATAAAGCTAAATATTAAATATAATTGTGTAATGTTGCAGTGCTGTAA